TGCCTCAGCCTCCCGAGTAGCTGGGACTACAGGCATGTGCCACCATGCCCGGCTAATTTTTTCTATATATATATATTAGTTGGCCAATTAATTTCTTTCTATTTATAGTAGAGACAGGGTCTCGCTCTTGCTCAGGCTGGTTTTGAACTCCTGACCTCGAGCAATCCGCCCGCCTCGGCCTCCCAGAGTGCTAGGATTACAGGCATGAGCCACCACGCCTGGCCCTTCTAACTTTATTCTTTTCAAAATTGTTTTGGCTATTTGGGTTGCTTTGCCTTTCCATATACATTTTAAAATCAGCTTGTCTATATCTACAAAAAGTCTTGTTGGGATTTTAATTAAAACTGCTTCAAATTTGGGGAGAATGGACATCTTCACTATGTTGAGTCTCCCAATCCATCAACATGGTATGTCTTACACTTTCTTGTATCTTTTTGAGAGGACTTTTATTTATTTACTTTTATTCATACAATTTTACCAAGGTCTGAAAAGCTACTAAATGCCTTCTAATAGTCTATGAGCCCAGCAAATATGACTAAAATCTACTAATGGAAAAGATATGGCGGCAAGAGCTGAAATTCTGCTCAGCTCCTGATGACACCAGGCATTTAAAGCTTTCAGGTCAATCCCACTGAGTTCTGGATGCCGTGGAGTCTAACAGTGCACAGAATGAAGCGGTGGACTGCAGAGAGAGCAACTGTAACGGTTAACTGTAACATTTTGCTTCATCTATGAACGATAAGATACAGAAATCCCCCTATGAATTGCTACTTGAAAAGATTTCCTGATATTTTGTACTTTTGAGTTGTTCTTCAGTAACAGTATTATTTAACTGGAAGACTTTAAATAACAAAATAACTCATGTCTTTCAGCAAAGAGGCGAGGAAGAACTCTTAAAAGAAGCTATGACACTGGCAAACTCAGTGCAAACCCCTAGATTGCTTTTTTTTTTTTGAGACAGAGTCTCGCTTTGTTGCCCAGGCTAGAGTGAGTGCTGTGGCGTCAGCCTAGCTCACAGTAACCTCAAACTCCTGGGCTCAAGCGATCCTCCTGCCTCAGCCTCCCGAGTAGCTGGGACTACAGGCATGTGCCACCATGCCCAGCTAATTTTTTCTATATATATTAGTTGGCCAATTAATTTCTATTTATAGAAAGAAATTAATTTCTATTTATAGAAAGTAGAGACGGGGTCTCGCTCTTGCTCAGGCTGTTTTCGAAATCCTGACTTCGAGCAATCTGCCTGCCTTGACTTCCCAGAGTGCTAGGATTACAGGTGTGAGCCACCACACGCGGCCCCTAGATTGCTTTCATCCTTAACCTATTTATTTCCTTGTTAAATTCTTCTGATTGTTTATTTATAGAGTGTCTCAACTTAACACTGTTAAGTGAATGAAATGCCAAACTACAGATGGGGGGAATATTTGCAAATCACATATCCAACAAAAGATTTTTATCCAAAATAATGTAAAGAACTCTTAGAACACAATTGTTAAGAAAATAACCCAATTTAAAAACAGGCATAAGATTTAAATAGACACCTTGCCAAAGAGGGTATATGGATGGCAAATAAGCACATGAAAAGATGCTCAGCATCTTTAGCCATTAGCAAGGTGCAAATTAAAGCTATGACGAGATACCCCTTACACACCTCTTAGAATACATAAATTTAAAGAAACTAGAAGACAATACCACGTGGTGGTGTGGTGGTAAGGATGAGGAACATCTAGAACTCCCGTGCATTGCTGGTGGGAATGCAAATGGTATGACCACTCTGGAAAACAGTTTGGTAGTTTCTCATAAAATTAAACATACTTATCATATGACCCAGCAGTCTCACTCGTAGGTATTTACCCTAGAGAAATGAAAAGTTACATTGACACAAAAACATGAATGTTTATAGCAGCTCTCTTCATAATTGTAAAAAACTGGAAACAGCCTAAATGTCCTTCAGTGGATGAATAAACAAACTGTGCTACATCCATACAATGGAATACTGTTCTGCAATAAAGAGGGACAAACTATTGATGCACTCAAGCAGCGACTTGGATGAATCTTAAAGGCATGATGCTAAGTAAGAGAAGCCAGTCTCAAGAGGTTATGTATTAATACTACATAATTTCACTTATAGGCATTCTTGAGAAGGCAGAACCATAGTGGTGGAGAGCAGGTCATTGGTTGCCAGGGGTTAGGGGAGAGGGTGACTCCAAAGGGGCAGCACGAGGGAATGTTTTGGTGTGATGGGGCCGTTCTGTATGTGGAGTGTGACAGTAGTTACACAGATCTCTACGTGTGTTAACATGCATAAAACTGCACACCCAAAAAAGTTTTATTACGTGTTAACTTGAAAATAAAACAAACTATCATACCTTGCAGAAGTTGCTCTAAGGTGCAAAGTATAGAACTAAAGCCTCAAAATAGATAAATGCAGCATAAAAACAATTAAAATGAAAAAAAAAATCAGTCCACTCCCTGTCAGTATGTAATTAAACCACGGAAGAAATTTGCCACAGAAGCTAACCACAGGCTTTTTACGTATCTGATTGCAAAAGCCTGTTGAACTTTTACATCATTTTTTGAAAACTTACCACTAACTTATAAGAAGTCGCACAAAGTATCTGTGTTTAATATTTCAGTAAAGCTTTTAATATAAATGTTCATCATTTTCCTTGAAATTGAACTTTGACTCTCCCAGTTATTTTAGTTTGTTCTAGTATAACATGGGTTTTCTGGGAGTGCCCTTGTGAACAAGGCCTTGTTCTCAGGCGAGAGGCTCGGGTGGGGCAAGCTTTCCGTGAGAAGCAGGGCGTTGCACCTGAGCCTTTCGGCAGTGTCATTTCTGAGGCTTGAAAACATAGATGCTCAGGGCGCACCTCGAGGAGAGTTAGGGAGTTCAGAATCAGTGTGTTTGGGCCAGGGCCTGCACAGCTGTGTGTGTCTGTGTGTGTGCGCAGCTCTGCCGTGATTATGCTCAACTGCCTGCGTGAGATCCCATGGGCAAAACGGGAGTCAGACACAGGCAGGGGTGATAGAACTGGGGTACAGGAGGGGGACACGAGAGGGGTGATTCCTAGAGGGTGGTAACTTCTGAGCCGGAGTCCTGAAGGACTTGGAGAATCACAGACAAGAAGGAGAAGGGAGTGGACTAGGCTGCAAGCATTTGGGACTGGCAGGGGAGACGGGAGAAGACTCCGGGGCAGAGCAAAGAATGGGTGGAGGCCCCATACCAGGGAGAGGGAGTGAGACTAGCTTTTAAGTCAGATTTCTCAAGGCCATGTCCATGGCCACCTGAATGAGAATCACCTGTGAAGAGCTGCATACAATGCAGATGTCCTGGGCTCCATCTGCACCAGCCATTCTGAGACTGGGGCCTGCAATTTTACCCAGTGTCCAAGGGATTCCTTTGCACTGTGCATTCAGAGCACCGTGTTGGGAAGTGGGGCCACCAAAGAGTTTCCTACTAAGAGTTTGCTTCATTTGTGTGTGTGTTTCACTGGTGTTTCCTAACATAGCTCACTCCTGGAAACCATTGCCAAGCCTCACATTTGGGAACGCTGTTGTCTTTTTCAGGTTTCCTGGGGAACCAATTTGTGGACTAGCCAAAAAATAGCAAACCCTTCTGCAGGTGTCTGTTCATACAAGCATCATGTTTTTCCAGAAGGAAGTAGAACCCTCTGTGTGGGGCCCTGGGCCGGCTAGGTTTTGTTGGAGAAAAAAAGGTAAGGTGGGGTCCCTGGGGAAGACGTGGCGCCTGACAGTTTCTGGTGTCCTTCTCCAGGAGCAGCAGCCAAGCTGGACGGACGACCTGCCACTCTGCCACCTCTCCGGGGTTGGCTCAGCCTCCAACCGCAGCTACTCTGCTGATGGCAAGGGCACTGAGACCCACCCGCCAGAGGACAACTGGCTCAAGTTCAGGTGTGCCTGCCAGCCTTGCTCTCCCGGGCACAGAAAGTTGGTTTGCAAGCAAGGAAAACACCCATCTTGTTGCTGTCTTGTATGGGGCTTGCTGGTGAGATGTGGCCCATGGGAGGTGGCCTCCCTTGCTGTCTCTTCCACAGCTGGACTTCAGACCAGCTAAAGGTCTGCTACAATGGGGGATATGGAAGGAGCATCCAGAAGGTCATAGCCAGAGTGAAGTGGGGGGACCAGATGGGCACTTGAAGCCACAGCCGCTGTGTCTTCAGTCTCCCCAACTTCCTCTTCCTCCACCTCTGTGAGCCTCTGGTCTTAGGTCTCGTGTCCTTTCCCTCTGCTAGGAGTGAGAACAACTGCTTCCTGTATGGGGTCTTCAATGGCTACGATGGCAACCGGGTGACCAACTTTGTGGCCCAGCGGCTGTCTGCAGAGCTCCTGCTGGGCCAGCTCAACGCCGAGCACACTGAGGCCGATGTGCGGCGCGTGCTGCTGCAGGTAATGGTGCTGGGGAGCAAGCGGGGACCCAGCCGAATCATGTCTCCCCTGCCATTCTCCTGGGCTCGGGCCCTGCATCTATAACATGTTGCCAGGTTGGTCTCAAGGTCCTGCTCGCTTCTTCCCTCCTGCACAGTAACAACTCCGGGAGCAGCTTCCAGGGGCAGGGGCTGCCCTCCCAGGAGTCCAGGACTAGGTGGCCAGGAGCAGGCCTTCCATGGCTGGCGGGGTTGGGTCTGAAGGGGATCCTGCTGGAGGAAGGGGAGGTTAGGGACGTGAGTTTGGAGTGGGGGCAGAGCAGGCCCTGGTAGAAATGGGGTCATTTAGAGCCATCCCTTTCCTTTGGATGTGGGCTGGTGCTCAGCCTTTAGGGGCTGAAAGCATCCCTGGGCTTTGGGAAGAAGACCTTGGCTCCCCACCCGTGATTGGCTGCTGCCCTCACTGGCCAGTTCTGCCTTTCTGCTTGCTCCAGTTTGGGGGGTTTTCTGCTGGCATCCCCTTTTAAAAGCATGTCTGGAAGCACTTTGTTTTAGTTGAGAGGATGGATTCCTGGTCCTCAAGAACAGTGATCTCAGCCTCCTCTTACCCTTATGCCCTCTGTGCTCCTGTGCCAGTGATTCTTAGCAGATCCCATGCCCAGGGGAAGGTATCAGTGTCACCAGTGTCCAGGGGCCAGCAGGATTTGACAGGAGCCTCTCAGGAAGAGTTGTAGTTACCATACGAGCCATCATTGATCTGGCAGTTTCTCCGAGCCGGGTGCTGTGCTAAGGGTGGATTAACTTGCTTTGCTCTCAGAATACACTCATCTCCATCGCATAGATGAGGCCGAGGCGATACAGCTGGAGTTCACACCAGGTGGTCTGTTCCAAGACTGCTCGTGGCCTCTGTGCAGTCTTCTGCCTCTGATCCCTCTGCGGTGCCACCTGTGCAGTGCGGCCACCCTGTGGGGCTGAAGGTCTTTGTCAGAGACCTTGGTCTGCAGGAAGCAGCAGGTGCTTTGCAGTGCCGGGCCGGGGGCAGAAGTGCTGCGTGTAAAGCCCCCTCACATGAGCCCCTGCAGGGAATACAGTGAATTTGTTGATGTTCTATTAATAGCGTTTTAGCATCAGGTGACATTGGTGTTTTGAACCAGCCTTTGCCCTGTCCTCTGCACACCCCCCCGCCTCGCCCCCCCAGGCCTTTGATGTGGTGGAGAGGAGCTTCCTGGAGTCCATCGATGATGCCCTGGCTGAGAAGGCGAGCCTCCAGTCCCAGCTGCCAGAGGTAATCTCCCCAGCCTGCACCCCGGGAGAAGCAAGTCAAGGCCTGGTTTTGCTTTTGCTAGGAGCAAGGACTCATCTGCCTTGTCACTTACAGGCCATTGACATAACAGGGCCAGAGCAGCAGGAGTTATGGGAACAGTTCCTGATGGGGGGGGGGTGCTGGCAATGGGTTTCCACTTGAGGGGCCTCCCTGGCCCTCTGTGGGCAGCTTCATGCTGAGGCTCAGCATTGGGTGGGCAGTGATAGGGGGAGGAGACCTTTCCAGGGCCTTCGACTTGAGTCGGTCCACAGCCTGTTCTCTTACCTGCTCACATCACCCACCAGCACTTGCAGAGCCGGCCTCTGCGTTCTGGTTCTCCGAGTTAGGCCATCTCCGGCTCTCCTGGAAGAACCCTGCCCTGGAGCTGCAGCACAGGCTAAAGCCTTGCTCTTAAGGGAGGGGGAGGGTTTGTGAGATGGTCCCCAGGCCCCATGTGCTCTGACCTCTCTGATGATGGGTTCTAGGGTGTCCCTCAGCACCAGTTGCCTCCTCAGTACCAGAAGATCCTTGAGAGACTCAAGGTGTTGGAGAGGGAGATTTCAGGAGGGGCCATGGCCGTCGTGGCGGTCCTTCTCAACAATAAACTCTACGTCGCCAATGTCGGTGAGCTGCCCTTCTGTCCCGGGCGGGGGTAGGGGGCAGTGAGGCTGGGGGAGAGGCGGTCAGCTGCAGGGGTCGGTGTACTACTTGGCGATGTGCTTTCCGGACACTTAGATGCTTTAGACCCAGAGTCTCCTGAGGCCGTTGGGTGTGTTTCCTCCTTACTCCACAGTCACGTCTCAGCCCCAGCTGGAGGCCATGGGAGGCCGGTGTCCTGGTTTTAGTCCCCACTCTGCCTCTAACTGGCTGTGGCCTTGAGCGAGTTGTGTCCCATCTCTGGGTGGCCTCAGTGGCTGCTGCTTCTGGAAAAGGTTACCTGGCTGTGGAAACCCAGTTGGCATCCCCATGATCAGCTGTGGGACGGGGCTGTGACAGGGACGTTGGGATTTGTGGGCAAAGGACGGGCTGTCTGGGGAGCAGAGACGGCTGCAGGGTGATGTTCACCCTGCAGGAACTCTGTACAGAGACCCCGTGGTGAGGTCCCTCCTACTCTTCCTCCTTTCCTTAAGATTTCAGTGTGGAAAAACTTCCAAAATATAAAAAAATGGAGTGCGTAGTATTTAATGAGCTTTCAAGTGCCAATCCCCAACCCCAGTTATCAGCTCACAGCCAATCTGGTTTCATCTGTAGCCCTTTGTCCCCACATTGTTTTGAACCGAACCCCAGACATTGTCATGTTATCTGTAAATATTTCAGTATATACCTCTACAGAAAAGGTCTTTTTTATTAAAACCATAATCCTAGGATTAGGCTGCAAAAGTTTAACCTAATTCCTTAGTATCATCAGCTGTCCCTGACTGGTGACTCTCCTCGGTGTTCTATGCCTGTTTTGCTCTTTTGCTGTGTGTTCCTGTGTGAGATGCCTGCTTTTTCTCTCTCTGTCTTTTCAATGTGTCCTATTTTTCCCTCTCCTTGGTCTTTGCTTAGCTGCTCAAATTCTGCTGCAGGTACAAACCGTGCACTCTTATGCAAATCTACGGTGGACGGGTTGCAGGTGACACAGCTGAACGTGGACCACACCACAGAGAACGAGGACGAGCTCTTCCGCCTTTCACAGCTGGGTGGGTGAGAGAGTGCCTTGGCCAGGGTCGGTGGGAGTGGGCCTGGCCCCCGTGGGCGCACCCTAGCCCTTCCTTTGTTGTCTGAGTAGACAGGGGCATGTAGTGGAGGGGCTGTCACCTTGTCCCTGGGACCAGCCTGCCTGGGTTGGATCCTAGCTCTGTTGCTTACTAGTTGGTGACTAGAACTTGCTGAAGTTTTCTGTGCCTCAGTTTCCTCATCTGTGTAATGAGAATAATAATAATAACCTACCTCAAGGTGTTGTGAGGATTAAAAATTGGTTCACTTAAAATGCTTCCTTGAGTACCTGGCACATAGCAGTTACTCACAGTTATTGGTGGAGACCAAGAAAGGCCCAAGAAGTCCTGCGATTCCAGCTGCCGCAGTAGCTTCTCCCTCCCTTCTGAGGGCCGTAGGGGCAGAGGCAGACCCAGGGCGGTGCTGGGCAGTGCTGGAGTGCCCGTGGAGGGGGCTCTGGGTGGGGGTGTCCTGATGGGGATGGGGACTGAGGACCCTGGGGACTTGGGTTAGCTGCTTTCCACGGAGCCCTCATGTTGTCTTCCTCTCCTATTCAGTGGGTCCTCACTGCCTGGTTTTCACAGATATGTCCCTGTCCCCTTCTTCTTGTTCTTTATGAACAAGGAATGGGATTGTTGCATCGTTCCTCCTCTGACAGGTTTGGACGCAGGAAAGATCAAGCAAGTGGGGATCATCTGTGGGCAGGAGAGCACCAGGCGCATCGGGGACTACAAGGTCAAATACGGCTACACGGACATCGACCTGCTCAGGTAGGTGCCTGCCCAGCTGTCCCTCGTTCGTTTGTAAGATCAGAGGCCCAGGGCAGAAGCAGATTTTAGGCTGTAGCAACAGCGGTGCAGTTGAAGTAGTTCAGAGCCCAAGGTGACTCTCTCTTCCTCCCAGGGAGGTTGGTGTGGGGCGGGAGCTGGGATCCCACAGAGCTAGGCTGGCAAGGGGTCAAGTTGGGGAGCTGGGCTAAGGCCAGGGGCAGCAACCAGTGCCATAGGGCCTGGCAGGAGAAGTCAGCGTTGGCATGAGGTGCCTGGCATGGACAGGGATGGACGGACCAGAGGCCTGTTGGTCAGAGCTGCGCATGGCTGGGGCTGGGGCAGCGATATGAGGCGCATTGTAACTTCCCTCCAAGGACACCGCCAGTCGGGGTGTCACCCAAGTGCCTGCAGTAGCAAAATGGACAGAAATGATAATTATGAGTTTTTGTTGTGCCAAGCCTGGTCACAGTTCCATACATACATCCTGTTATTCATTCCTTACTCAGTTCAGGCCCATGAGGTAGTTACCATCGCCATCCCAAAGGCGTTTTCATGAGAGGAAACTGAGGCATGGAGACATAAGGTGGCCTGCCCTGATCAGAGGGCAAGTGATAGACCGAGGCAGACTCGAAGGCAGGCAGCCTGAATTTAGAGCCTGTGTCCTTAACCTCTGGCCAACCTGTCTGTGAAATGGTGGTTGGGAGATACAGGCATGTACTTGCGTGATGCCTGTTGTGGCATTTAATGTCATGGCCAGAGCCCTGGAGGAATCAAAGACCCCATCAGCAAAGGCCAGGCCTTATGGCTTAGAAAGCACATGTTAAAACTCCTTACCCTCCCAAGATTTAGACAATTGAGCTGGGAACTTTTGTCCCTATTTTGTGGGGTTCTGTTTGCTTTATTGGAAAGTCATCTGTGGTTTAAAATGCCTCAAACAGTGCTGGGATCTATACAGAGAGAGGGAGTCTTCTTCCCACCCCAAGCCAGGACTCTATCCCCAGGGGCTGCTAGTTTCTGTGTATTCTGCCCTCTGATCTCTGTGCACGTGCACATATGCACACATACATGCATGTGTTTCATGGGGTCTGAGGCACAGGCATCCTCTTCAGGACACCCACACATGCTCCATGCCCTGCCCAGTGTCCTGCCACTCCCTCTTCTTTTCTTTTTCTTTTTTTTTTTTCCCATTGGCATGTGAAGTAAGAGCTATTTTCTTTTTTTTTTTTTAAACCTTGAGTTATGACCGACATACACAAAGTTGCACATATTTAATACGTACAACTTGATGAGGTGGGGGTAAGTTTACATGCGCCTCACAGTTGCCAGTAAAGATGCCCATCCCTGGCCAGGTGTGGTGGCTCACGCCTGTAATCCCAGCACTTTGGGAGGCCAATGCAGGAGAATTGCTTGAGACCAGCATGGGCAACACAGACCCCATCTCTATAAAAAAATTTAGAAATTAGCCAGACATAGTGGTGTGCACCTGTATTCCCAGTTACTCTAGAGGCTGAGGTGCAAGGATCACTGGAGCCCAGGGATTTGAGGCTGCAGTGAGCTAAGATCACACCACCGGACTCTAACCTGGGCAAGTGCAAGATGAATGAGACCTCATCTTTAAAAAATAAAAATTTAAAAAAAAAAAAGATGTCCATCCCTCTGTTCCTGCACATCTTACAATCAGGCGACATCATTCTTTATAATTGTCGGTAGGATTCCAGCTTCTACTGACAGCCCCTCAGGATGTTTCCAGACTTTACTCTCCTGAATATTGTTGCTAGGAACTCCTTGTATACTCACCTTCTTGTGTACTTACTCATGTTGGAACTTTTTGACATTTAATGACTCTGATGCCACATTAGTAAATAATGATTCCTGTGCAAGTCGAGAGTGTGTTTGGGGTCTCAGTTGGCTTGGACACCTGTCTCGGAGGAACTCAAGTGATAGCAAGAGGAACAGTCTTTTAAAAAATAACCTCTCCCTCTTGCTAGCCCATGCCCTGCCCTGCCACTGCACAGGTTCTGTGGACAGGAGGTACAGAACTGGCCAAAATGAGGCATTTGACTTTTGCCTTCATGACCTCAGCTGCCTGCCAATTTTTCTGGCCCCTCTGAGTTTTGTTTTAGTAGCTGCTGTAAGAAGACAGGTATGTTTTCTGATTCTCTCTTTCCTCTATTTCTTTTCCCCTCATCAGGTTGTGTGTTTTGTTTTACACTTGGGGTATAGATTCCTCCCCTCAGCAGAATCAGCGTCCACCTGGGGCCATTCCAAGCAAAGCTCTTCCCTCCACTCTCTCCCCATAGTGCTGCCAAGTCCAAACCAATCATTGCAGAGCCAGAAATCCACGGTGCACAGCCACTGGATGGAGTGACTGGCTTCCTGGTGCTGATGTCCGAGGGACTGTACAAGGCTCTGGAGGCAGCCCACGGGCCTGGGCAGGCCAACCAGGTGAGTTGGGCCTGGATAAGCCAGCGGTTGCAGAGCATGGCTGACCTGTAGGCTCCCTGGCCACTAGGAGCTCTGGTTCTCAAGTTCTGCCTCTGGGTTCAAAGTGGCGGCCCACACCTGTGATCCCACAATTTGGGAGGCCGAGTCAGGAGGATTGCTTAAAGCCAGGAGTCCAAGACCAGCCTGGGCAACACAATGAGATCCCATCTTTACAAAAAATAAAAAAGGCTGGGAGAAGGAAAAGCCCAGAGCTCTGAAAACACCCACTTACCCAAAAGCTTTGCTTATTCTAGGCTTGAAGTAATGTTGGTCCCCAGGGCCTGAGCGAAGCCTTCAGGGAAGAGGGTGAGGTGTGAATTTCCACGGCACAGCATTGCTCTGAGCCCCTTGGGAAGAAGCCTGGGCCAGGAGGAGAGCCCAGAAAGGGTGTGGCCTGCTGCACAGCCCCCTGGCTCAGTCTTAAGTCCCATAGTCCATCACATCCTGCCCTGGGGCTTCGCTCCCCTCTCTGGGCGGCAGGCGATTTACTGTCCATTCCTCATCTCCGCAGTGGGGACGGTAGCATCTGCCTTTGTGGGAGTGTGGTAAGGTCAGGTGTGGTAAACGTAGATCCGCGGCCAGTGAGAGCTGCTTATTTTTCCTGCACCTTGGAGCATACACAGCAGGCAGCTGTCACCAAAGCATGACCTTGAGACAGTCACTGCAGGGGTGATTTTGAAGGGAAGCTGCCTTTATCTAATCTTGGATTGCCGGTGGCTAAGAAAAGTTCCTGTTGTAGTCTTTTTTCTGTCTGTGATTCTTACAGGAAGATAACCTTTTCCGCTTTGTCTTTTTAAAGTGGAAATCAGGAAGAAAAAGTTTTAAGTGCCTAACTTTGCCTGATCCCTGTGTTGAGTTTTTTACCTGTTATATCTTATCTTTCCTTCCAGCAGCCTGTAGCGCAGAGGGCAGGGGCTTACTCCCACGTGGAGCTGGGAACTTGGGGCCCATGGGTTTCAGGGTTTTGCCTGAGGTGACATAGCTGGTTAGTGATGGAACTGAGGCCTCCCCAGCCATGTCCAAGTCATTTCCTGTCACCTCCTGCCCTCCTACCACTAAGATACTAGGCCAGCCATCATACAGAGCATTGTTTGTTTGTGTTTCTGATCTGTCCATATGATTTTTTTTCTTCCTTTTTTGTTTTGTTTTGTTTTTGGTCTTCATGATAGAATTATCCAGTGGCTTCTGCTTATTAGATTCTAGAATACAGATAGTCCCTGACTTGTGATAGTTCAACTTAGGATTTTTCAACTTTATGTTGGTGTGAAAGTGATATGCATTTGGTAGAAACTGTTCTTCAAGTACCCATACAGTCATTGTTTTTCACTTTCAGTACAGTATTCAATAAATTACATGAGATAATCAATACTTCATTATAAAACAGGTTTTATGTTAGGTGATTTTGCCCAACTATAGGCTAGTGTTCTGAGTGCAGGCTAGTCGAAGCTGTGCTGTTCAGTAGGTTAGGTGTATTCAATGCATTTTTCACCTTATGCCATTTTCAACTCCATAGGTTTATCAGGACATAGCCTCATCCTAAGTCCAAAAACATCTGTACACTAGACAGTGACTTCTCTGAGGGCAGGGACCGTGTCTGCATTCCGCATCCCCAGAATGAATCCCGAGAAAATGCCTGGCATATCACAGCCTACAATGAGTTTGCTCCAGGAAAGAAAGCTTGGTAGTAACAGCAGTCTTTACCGGGTCTTTTAATGGTCTGCAGAGTGCTCCTGCATCCACTGTGTTATTCAATCCTCATATAACTCAGTGAGCTGTATATTGTCCCCATTTTAGAGTTGTGGAAGCCAATAATCAGAGAGATTGTAGGGTATTATGCCTTTTCTAATGAGAAAGTTCCAGAAAGATTATCCTGAATACCTTGAAAATCTCAAATTGCAAGCTTGGCTGGCAGGGACTTCCTCCACCTGTGGAGCCAGTGACTCTTGAGTCTCCTGACTCAGATCTCTGGAGTTATGGCCCCAATCCTGGACCACCCCTGTTCCTCACCAGGGTCTTGCTCCCCTGTCCTCCAGGAGATCGCTGCAATGATTGACACCGAGTTTGCCAAGCAGACCTCCCTGGACGCAGTGGCCCAGGCTGTGGTTGACCGGGTGAAGCGCATCCACGGAGACACCTTCGCCAGTGGTGGGGAGCGTGCCAAGTTCTGTCCACGGCATGAGGACATGACCCTGTTGGTGAGGAACTTTGGCTACCCACTGGGTGAAATGAGCCAGCCCACACCGACCCCTTCCCCAGGTAAGTGTGCTGTGCGGATGGCAGTGCCTGAGGACGCCATGGGGGGCCCTGAGGTGGGTGCGGAGCAGCTGAGGCAGTGGCCTGGAGCTGGGAGGCCTGGCTCAGAGCGGTTCTACTCCAGGCTCTCTGACTTTCAGCCTTTCTGAGCTGTGTGCTGATCTTTGCCTTTTGTCTGTAAAATGAGGATAATGCCCTGGCTCCCTCCTGAAGACCTGGGTACGTGAACAAGCAATTTGCAGAGCCACAGCCCATGCAGTAGAGACGAGGGCTGCCACTGGTTGAGAGCCTACTATGTGCCAGGTGTATTATCTGTTATTTCCTTTAGTCCTTGTTAGCAACCCTAGAGACAGGTGGCACCCCCATTTTTCAGAAGAAGAAACTGAGGCTTAAGAAAGAAGAGGCCTAGTTGAGGTTGGGCATGTGGACAGATGGTCAGGCCCCAAAGCCTGGTCTGTCCCTGGGCCACATTGTGGGAACTTGGGAGTAGAGGGATGACATTTTACTTTGTACCTTTTTTTCCCTTTACTGTACAATTCACAAACGGACTTTCTGATGTTTTAATTCTTAAACCAAGTCGCCTAGGAAAAGAGGTGATTGTTCTTTGCTTGTGCTCCCTCCCAGAGCTGCTTAGTGTTGAGACTTTCAGTTCCTGAGGGCTGCATTTCTTTTCCTTTTTTAAACAAGCAAACCTTAGAGGCCAAGTGTCCACAGATGGGTTTGTTCTCCCAGGGACACCGGGGGTGCTGGAGTTCCTCTGGCTTGTTGTTGTTGCGACCGTATTTTTATTGGGTCAGCCTCCACTAGGAGCAAACTTATCCTCTGGATTAAAGCGTCCGTGGGAAGCCAGGCAGTAACCCTTTCATTGAGGCGGCTTGAGCATTTGACTCTGTTCCTACTTTGAGCAGCAGCAGGCTTTCCTGCTGAAAGGAGGTCTTGGCCTGGCTGGAAGAGTGTCTGCCAAGGAACACTTCGCCTAAGCTGTCCCAAGGGGTGGGGGTGGGGTCACACTGGGGCTTGGGGAGCCACGGGGGGCCAGGCATGGCCACCACCCACGCTCTCAGCCCTCAGACACCACCCCCGCCAGGCCTTGGCACAGCTCTGCCCCCACTGGCCCTCTTCCCTCCGCTGCCGCCTGTGCCCACTGCTGTCTTCCTCCCAAAGCCGCAGGGGGACGCGTGTACCCCGTGTCCGTGCCTTACTCGAGCGCCCAGAGCACCAGCAAGACCAGCGTGACCCTCTCCCTCGTCATGCCCTCCCAGGGCCAGATGGTCAACGGGGCCCCCAGTGCCCCCACCCTGGACGAAGCCACCCCGACCCTCACCAAGTAAGCCCCATGCCCCCCTCCCAGCCCTGCACCCCATGGCGTGTCCTGGGAACAGCCCTGGTTACCTGGGCAGAAATGGCCACAGAGCCAAGTCCTGTGGCTGAGTATCCCAGGGGAGATGCCCTGGGGACCTGTGTCTCCCCAATCCCCCTCTCAATTCCAGGGAGGGTGGATCCCTGGAGGCTGAGCAGGAGGCACGGCTGTACTGGTCAGCCGCTGCTGCATCCGGGCCTGGGGTGGGCTGGAGGTTTGGGGACAGGGTGGGGACAGGTGGGGTGTCCAGTCAGGTAGCTGATGGTGACAGCCTACTGCTTGTGTTTTCTCGTGGGCCCCATAACTAGTTTTCATTCAACAGGACGGTTCTCTTGTCTTTTTCTCCCATTTTTGGAGTATGTGATGTAGGGTGGCCTTCCTATGGTATCCATGCTTGGGGGACATTTTTGGCCTGTACTGGCTTATCCTGTGCTCTCTGACTAAAATGTCCAATGTTAGCTTAGAAGTGAGTTTAGTTTCAGTTGGGAGTGGGGGTCCGGGGAGAGGCGGTGGCAGCAGCCTGGGGTGAGGGGTGTGGGCAGGCCCCCTCCCAGCTGCAGACCTGCCTGGCAGGTCTGGAGTCCGCCCCACCCCTGCACTTCCGTGGAATGCACACCCCTCACACCCACCACACAGGGGACCAGGATCTGGTTTCCACATTCCAGCCCTGCATGGAATAATAGAGATGCCACACCCAGCCCACGCTGGGTATGGTGAGGATGGAGCTGAGCAGGATGTGGCCAATTAGAAGGGCCCTGGGGAGGGAGTGGCCCTGTTGCCCTCCACCTCACCCAGCGCCTTCCTTTCCGCCTGGCCTGTGTTGCTGCTAACGGCGCAGCTGCCGCCGGTCTGGCAGGGCCTGCGGAGCAGGCATCTTGGGTGTGGGAGGGCGTGGCTCCCCACCTCCCCTCCGGGCTGCCCAGAGGAAGCCTCCGCTGTGTCCACAAGGTAGGGGGTGATCGCTGTGGCCACAAACGAGGCTGGACATGCGCCCTCCTCCTCTGCCTCTAACCCTGGCCCCAGCCAGCCCCTTGCCTCCCTCCAGCATCTGAGTGGTAGTCCCAGCTGGCCACAGTGGGTAGCCAAGGTGGGGGAGCAGAGGGAGGTTTCCTGAAGGAAGACACCCCGCGGCCTGTGATGAGCGCAGGGCGGGCGGGGGAGATCAGATGGGTGCTGGGTAGCTCAGCGCTGCCCAGCAGAACGTCCTCCACGGTGGGAATGCTCCGTGTCTGCTGGCCACACAGTAGCCCCTGGCCACACGTGGCTACTAAGCATTTGAACCAAGTGTTCCATCTTATTTAACTTTAGTTAATTTAAGTAGCCACATGCAGCTAGTGCTTTAAAAATACATTTGACTTTTTGTCTGTCTGTAAGAGCGTCTGGCCAGGCCGGCTCTTAATGGTCACCTCTCCCAGAACGGCCTGCAGCCTGTGGGGCTGGGAGAGGCAGGGCTGTCCCCCCCTGGAAACCAAGGCCCCCTTGGCCTAGCTGCCGCTGACCGCCCCCTCCTGTGGTCCCACAGCCAGAGCCCGACGCTGACCCTGCAGTCCACCAACACGCACACTCAGAGCAGCAGCTCCAGCTCCGACGGGGGCCTCTTCCGCTCCCGGCCCGCCCACTCCCTCCCGCCTGGTGAGGACGGCCGCGTCGAGCCCTATGTGGACTTTGCAGAGTTTTACCGCCTCTGGAGTGTGGACCATGGCGAGCAGAGCGTGATGACGGCGCCATAGCGCAGCCAGGAAGTGCAGCCCGAGCTGGGCCTGGCGTGGGGAGGAGGGGTCTGGTGCTGAGGCGGGACGGGGATTAGCCTTAACCAACATTTGCCTGGGCCGTGGTGGCCAGCGGGTGTCCTGTCCTCAGCCCGCATCAGACTTTATCCCACAGCTCTCGGGGCTGTCGAGGGTGTGGGTGCAGACTGGACCTGTGTTCCGCACCTTGCGCAGGAGGCTGGAGGCCACTCCCTCCCTCGCAGCCTCAGCCAGGACCGTCACTGTTGCTCAGAACACAGGGCCCGAGTGTGGAGCTGTGGCTAGCCTGCAAGCCCCGCTGAGGGCGCCTTCAGCAGGTCTCGGCGGAATGGGAAGAAAAATCCTGTGCACCTGAACTGTCACAGGCCCAACAGAGACTGCTCTCGAGCCACCCCTCCTCCTGCCACTGCCTCCCTGGAATAACCTGTGGCTGCTACAAGTGTTCCCACCTCTGGGTGGTAGTTTCTCCCCTTCTCCAGCCTCTCAGCCCTGTGCTTCTAGATCCAGAGTAGAACCCTGGGCCCCATTCCTGGACCTGCCCCAGCTGTCATCGGTGAGGGTTCAGGGAGACCAGGGGAGCATTGGGGGTCTGGGACGGCCACAGGGTGTGGGGCAGGTGGCAGGGAACCAAGGGAGCTGGCCTAGAAAAAGCGCTGGTTCTGGAGCTGCCAAAGGAGAGCAGGCCAGGCACTTGGGCTTCTCGGAGGTGGGGCGTGCACTGTTTGGGCTGCCATGGTGGCTGCTGAGCCAGGGTGAACTGGTAACGGCCTTGTGCTTCTGTGCTGGTGCTAGGGAGGACCAGGGCTGGGGTGGGGTGTGGCCGAGGCGGACAGTCTTTGTATGTCCCCATGGGTGATGCCTCTGCTGGCTGCCGCGTAGCAAGCTGGGTTCCCGAGTCAGGCAGTGGGCACTCCCTGAAAAGACCAGAGTGGAAAGTGGCTCCAAGAGGTCAGCAGAAGTTCTTTGAGACCCAGCACTCTGGGAGGCCCAGGGCTTCCTGGATATGCCCCGTTTCTGCAGACAGGGGAAAGGTTAGATGGGTCCAAGGGGGCCCAAAGCCTGAGTTGCACTATTTCACACGTTCTCTGCCTTGGGGGCAGGGCAGGGTGCCCCCAGGGCTGTCTGCTGGGATTGCCGGTTCTCTTTTCAGAGGAAGCAGGCCCAGAGACGCGCACCTTGCACAGGCCACACAGTGATGGAGCCGGAGCTCAGACCTGTGGCCATTTTGTCAGTATCCAGGGCCCTGCTGGATTCTGCCCTCCCACCCCCAGCCTCCCTGTCCCACCCAGGGACTCCAGTGTGTATGGCCTCTGAAAAGTCAAAGGCCCGTGCCAAAGCCCCCTGCTACTCTGTGGTGCAGGGGTCGTTTCCCTGCAGCCCAGTGCAGGGCCAGGGAGAGGCGGGGGACCCACTGCATGGACCGAGGGAAAACGGGCCTCAGCAGAGGGCCCTAACTCCCCCTCCCTCCACTTTGAGGCCATCTCTGTGCTGTAGGTAAGCGAATTTAAAGTGGGTCACAAAAGGCTTGGGAACAAAGGGAATTCTCTTCTGAGAATAGGTCTATGATGCTGTTTCGTCCCTAGAAATAGAATCACTTTCTTAATGCAATAAAGAAGTAATAAATGGTGGCATTACACATTGTGGTGTTAGTAGTGCTATTGCTCTTGTCTCCTGTAACTCGCAGCAGCCCTGGAAGGTGGGCGCCTCCCTGCTCATTGCCCTGGAGGTTAAAGAACCATGCACACCAAGCTGCTAAGCAGCAGGGCTGGGATTTGAACCCACAGCCCCTGGCTGCGTTCCACACTGCTGCCCTCAAGCCAAGGGGGCACACGGCTTACCTAGCATTCCCCTGGTCCCTGCTCACCCAGCTCCGTGCCCTTCTGAGTGGAGTGACAGAGCTTTTCCTGAGGCAGGCCTGATCCTCTAGCCGTGGCAGTGGCAGGGCTGTTGTGTTGTCCCTGCTCTTCCTGAGCGCAAGCCCGGGGTCTTGGCATGAGTGTGCTGTGGCCACCCGGTGCGCAGGTCACTAGGGCAGAGGTCTTCCCCTCTTGCCGGCTAGCTTGCTTTATTTGGTTTTGTTTCCATGAAGGATATTCTATAAATACCAGTCCACAGAGTACCTCTTCCTGCTTTCGGGGACTTAAGAACTCATCCTCTAAGAAGAGCATCTGCGACAGAAACTGAAACTGCATCTGCCTAGGAACAAAGCCAAGCTCTGTCTGGTGCGGCCTGAGGGTCCCAGATGCCCCCCCACGCCCTGCTGGACGGGGCTCTAGGCAGAAGGCTCCGCCCACACAGCTTCCTTTCAGGATCTGTCCCCTCTCGGCTTCCCCAGCCATCTCCTCTGGGGTCCCAATGACCACCATGGCCCCTGAACATCCCGAAGCCTCGGTGTCAGCCCAGCCACCTGAGAGACACGCGCAGATGGGTTCAGGCACAGTCCTGGTCACGTGGTGACCGTCCAACCCCAAGCCTCTCCCAGCACCTGCTCTGCCCTAGCTGTTGGGTTAGAGCCCTGCCCTGTTGGCCTTGTCCCCTGTCCCTGACCTTGGTGTCATTTAGCTGTACTTGAGTCTGTCTCCTGGGGTCACATGGAGATGAGAGAGATACCATTTCAGCCCCTGGGCTCCCTTCGGTGGAGCAGGGGTGGGTAGCTGAGGGCAGTTTGAGGACATAAGAGCCAAGGGTCAAAGCTGTGGGGCCAGGGGCGGTCACTGTCCCCACCCATTTCTGCAGTGGCGTCCGGCACAGGTGGGCAGGCTGCCAGCGCAGGGCTGAGGCCCTTCCTGCCTTGTCCAGTTCCTGCGGCTCCGGTGGGGGAATCACTCGGTCCCCCTGAGGCTGACCAGACAGAACCAGCCCCATCACCCACCTGCTCCTCTGCCCTAGAAGCCACCTGATCCCTCCCAGCACAGGATTGGGCCACAGGTGGACCGAGGGCCTGGTCCTCTAATGCCCTTGTGTTACAGGCCCACAAAGCAGGCTGCCCAAAGCACCCTTGTCAGGGCATCCCTACCAGCACTGATGGTGGCAGCAGGACCTGTCTGGGGGACTCCAGGCCACTCTGACTTTGATGGGAAGAAACCTGTGTTCCTGGCACAGCTGGTCCCTTCTTGTCCCTCAGGTCTCCTCACAAATGCTGCCTCCAGAGAGGAGCCTGCCCAGGCGACCTGCTGCCCCTCCCTGTTCTGTTTTCTCCACGGAAACTGGACTGTCTGGTGTTCCCTGCCCCTTTACCTGTGTCGCTTCTCTCACCTGCTAAGACCAGGGCTTTGTCCCCCGTAGTCCAGTGGGTCCCAGCCCCACGGTCGGTGCCAGGGGCCTAGTGGGGCCTCGAGGGAGTGGAGTGAGTGAGTGAGGAAGTAGCCGTTGACCTTAGGTGAGTTACGTAGGCTGGGCCTTGATGCTGTCAAGTCCAACATGAGGGTATGACCCACCTCTCGAGGAGATTGCCTGACAGTCGCCATGGCTGTGAGAAGTAGAAACCAGCCCTGCTCTGGCGGCGTTGGGGCCGGGACTGGACGGGTTACAGGAGTGTTAGCTGAGACGTCCACCCCACCACACGCACACTGAGAAGTCACGGACAGTGAAGGCCCAGCCTAGGCCTGGCATGAGCAGGTGCTAAGTCAGCACTACCTGCAGCTTCTAGAGCCCAGATGTCGGGCAGTGGGTGTGGCTCTTGCCTCTTCTCAGCCGAAGTGCAGACGGAGGCCACGGGCCAGGCTCCCAAACGGTCCCTCCGACAAGGGCATCTTTCATGATCTTCCTTCTAGGCCCCTGTTTTGAAGCCACGCAAGGATGCGGATCTCTGCCAGTCCTGACAGGCTCGGCATGAGCACACGCTTTGTTCCCACACAGAGGTGATGTCAGCCCAGAGCAGAGACAGGCACTTGACATTTCCAGGGGCCTGGGCGGCCTCCTCGGGGACAGACTCAGTGTCTGGCAGCCGGCTCTGAGAAATACACCAGTCATGGACTCCATTCCTACCTTCAGGACCCCCAGCGGGGTCAGAGGACCCCAAGCTGTATGGGCCGGTTGGCTGATCCCGCCCCTCCTTGTTCTGGTCCTCCGGAGTCACAAAGGGCCCTGCCAGAGGGAGGGGCGGGCCTCAGCGCCCATGGCTGGTTTCCACATGCGCTGTGATTAAGCTCCTGCACCATGGAGCTGAGCTCAAGAATCTCGCATAGCTCCAGCCTCTTCCCTCCTGGCACCGCATGAGAGTCACTGCTGTGTCCCCTCACCCCTGCCTGGACCCTCCTCCAGGCATCTCAGTGGCCCGGGCCAGCCCTGGGAAGTGGTCAGGGAGGGTCAGGTGAGCATGAATGAGGGAATAGAGGAATTTCCCAGAGTAGAGCTTCTGGAACTTTGTTGCAGGGAGTGCCATTACCCTACAGAAAGCTGCCGCCCCCACCCCAGTACCCCCAGAGTTTCAGGGTTTGTAAGAAATTAGATGTCCAGTCATTATTTTGAGTAGGTGAGTTTTGTAGTAGTCAAATTCATAATATCCTTGTGCTCATTTTAGTACAAAAATAGCTTTAATTTTTTTCAAAAATAACATTTAAAAATTACTCGTTATCAAGTAAACTGATGCCTCCAGAAGAGCACCATGTCAATCCTACAGGTTTACAGACCTCCCCACATCACAGGGAACCCCAGCAGGCTCCAGGCTGAGGGGCCCAGGTAACCCTAATGGGGGCCTGCTGGGAGCCTGCGTGGCCTGAACCCCTGGGCCTTCGGCCAGCCCTCGGGGCAGGGGTTTGTGCCTGAAGCTTCCCTGGGTCCTGTTGCTAGCACCTGTTTTGCAGATGAGGAAAGAAGACACAGAAAGGTTTGGCTTGGGCAGAGTGATCAGGAGACCAGAGTTCAGCTCTGCTTCAGAAGGGACTTTAAGCCTTTGAATTGTGGACCTAGGAAGGGGCTGCCTGTGGGAGGTGGGGAGCCCCCATCATCACAGGTGTGAGCAGCTGCAGCACCCGGCATCCCGTGGGGCAGGGAGGATTGGGCCACGGGCCCCAGCCCGGCTGCACAGCAGTCCTTCAGCAGTGAAGAGGGGCTGGCTGCTAACAACAGATTCCTGGGCCCTCCCCTGGGTTCTCAAATCAGCCTCCAGAGGGAGGCCCACGGATCCGGAATCTCGGAATCTCGCAAAACCCTAGTCTGGAGGTGGGACTGAGGGGCTCCCACCCCCAAGACCATATGACCTTCCTGATTCAGTGCTTGTGTAAGTCCTGCCTCTGGGTGCCCCTTGGAGAAGGCCCGTAACTCTCTCTGGTCCCCATCTCATCTCCAGATAAAGAGCTACAGCTGTTTTTTTATTTTTTAAAAAACCTCAAAAAAACTACTATTTAATGAGTTCTAACTGTTCTAGGCATGTAGCTGACATGGAATATCTCATTTAACAGCAAGGAGTAGGTATCAGTGACCCATTATAGACAGGAAACCAAGCCCCACAGGGTTAAGCAAGTTGCCCAAGATCACACAGAAGCATGGATTTGAACTCTGGTCTCTTTATGTACCATGGAGTTTCCTCCTGATTTTCAAAGGCCCTTCCAGGCCTGTGAGGGGACAGGACAGCAGTCTCAGTGCCAGTCTCACCTCTGGAACGTCTCACGTCCCCAGTGTAGGAAGGAAGCTGTCACACCAGGGGTCTCAGCTGAGATAATCCCGGGTTTTGTCACCTGGTCTGACGTGTCCACTGGGATTAGGGGCAAGGGCACCCCTGGGCCCTGTCCCTCAATTGCAAACCAGCAGGAGTCAGTCCCAGCCCTGTCCTGGAGGAGCTCGCAGCCTGGAGGGATGCCCCAACCAAGACTTGGTGGTTCCTGGAAGGTTGCCTGGAGGAAGCATCTTTTTTTTTTTTTTGAGACAGAGTCTCACTCTGTTGCCCGGTCTAGAGTGAGTGCCATGGCGTCAGCCTAGCTCACAGCAACCTCAATCTCCTGGGCTCAAGTGATCCTCCTGCCTCAGCCTCCCAAGTAGCTGGGACTACAGGCACATGCCACCATGCCTGGCTAACTTTTTCTATATATATCTTTAGTTGGCCAATTAATTTCTTTCTATTTTTAGTAGAGAAGGGGTCTCACTCTTGCTCAGGCTGGTCTCAAACCCCTGAACTCAAGCAATCCTCCCGCCTCGGCCTCCCAGTGTGCTAGGATTACAGGTATGAGCCACCGCGCCTGGCCCTGGCTGCAAGCTTTTAACAGGGAGAGTGGGGCTGGGCTGGCAGGGCAGTGGAGGGGCTAGCCGTCGCCCATCTTGTCCAGGCCTGTCCAAGGATCCCCCTCTGAGGCTGAGCCTCAACAGAGCCGGCCCAGAACACGGCCTGGAAGGTGGTGTACGCACCTGCAGCCTCCAGGATGGGGAAGGGGTCTGAAGGCGCAGGCATTTCGGGTGCAGAGGGAAGCATTTTCTGATTGCATTTGGTCTCGCCTGCCCGGCCCATCCTGCAGCCTCTTTGAGCCAGAGTAGCCACCCCCATTAGTCTGGGACTGGACAGAGCCCTCTCAGCATCTGTGATTTTGCTGATGCTCTCCAGCCAGAGTTGCCATACTCAGGGCCCAACTCACTGTCACCTCCCTCCCCAAGACCCTCCCCACCCACCCCTCCCAAAGCAATGTCCTCCCTAAGCATGGGGTTATCTGACACTTGGTCTGCAGTGAACCTGGGGCTCCTGGAGAGGACCCACATCCACCCTGTTGGTCGTTGGGTCCCAGCGCTCTGCACAGGACAGTGTTTGTGGCGTTGAGTTGAGCTACGCCCAGCTTCTAGGAGTGAAGTGGCACGACCCCCATCCAGAGTGGCCCTGAGCGTGGGGCATGGATCATTGTGACTTTCGTTGGCCTCTTCTCAAAAAAAAAATATTTAAAATGATTTTTTATGATTGTTGGCTTAAAAATGAATATATTAATATATTAAAATTTCTCTTTGAATAAAAGTTCATTTTTTCCTTCTGATTTTAAAGGAAATAAAACATTTCCATGGGGCCCTGAAAGCATGAGACTCTGCCTCCTGTGCCTAGTCTAGAAGTCAGCCCTGCCACGGGACCAGCAGGGCCTAAACCAGTTTCCTTAGTGGCATGACCTCGTGGCAGTTAGGGTCCCATCCCAGCCTTCCTCAACATCTGAGCACACTGGGGTCTAAGATCTGAAAAGCATTCAAGAACAGGTCAAAGAAATCCAGAGATGACAGCAGAGGGGTGTCCCTCACACTCTGTGCTCCTTCCTGCCTCCAAGCCTTGCCCCAGGCTGCCCTTCCCTCTTCCCTCTACCCCGCACCCCAGCCTGCAGCGCCCGCCTGTGGGGCTCAGGGCTGTGGTTGGGAGGGTGAAGAGACGGGAGGGGTCAGAGATGACTCACAGTCTCTGCGGGAAGATAAACCAGCACCTGGAGGTCCAGCCAGAGCGGCCCTGAGACGCCGGCTGAGGGGGTCCTCTTCTGTCCAGTGGGTTCTGGGAGCCTTCACAGAGCAGGTGGGCCGTGTGCTAGGTCCTGGGATATTTATTTATTTTTTTCTTTTTGAGACAGAGTCTCACTCTGTTGCTGGGGCTAGAGTGCCGTGGCGTCAGCCTAGCTCACAGCAACCTCAAACTCCTGGGCTCAAGCGATCCTCCTGCCTCAGCCTCCAGTAGCTGGGACTCCAGGCATGTGCCACCATGCCCGGCTCATTTTTTCTATATATTTTTAGTTGGCCTATTAATTTCTTTCTATTTTTTTTCCCCAAACCTACAGCTCTTTTATTGCACCATCAAAATTACAAATACATCTTAGTAATCATGTGGTGTCTTCATGTGGCTGGACAACTCACCTCTCAGATCTTAGTCATCAGCCTGCTGAACTGCTCCATTTTCAGAGACATAGATACCATCCCAAAATTTTCTGATATCCTTGTTTTTAACTGTTGTGGCCTGCTGAATCAAAGCAGCCGAATTTGAAACAAGCTCAATGTCATTTCCTTCGAGGATCGACTCATCTTTCTGTGCTTGAGATACTGAACGAGCAACGCCTGGCCTCATCCGAGCCCTGCGGATGCATTTTTCACCTAAGAAATTCCGTATTTCACCAAGAGACCCATTCTCCTGGATAACAACGTTGATGGGGAAGGGAGCATACACAGACCTCATCTTGTAACAGAAACCCAGTGTGACACCCTTGACCATGTTCTATACATGACTACAAACAGTGCCAACAGCAGCCAGTTCCTTTCTATTTCCCCACCATTGGTCAACCCGGAGCCTCTTCTTTTTCTTTCCAAGGAAAGATGATGGTATATACACCAGGAAATCACAGAAAATAGCCGACTGTATCATACAAGTACAAGAACGCTTGTCTCTTTGCGTATCTACCGTGAGAATGAAGACCATTCTCAGCAATCAGACTGTCGACATTCCAGAAAATGTGGACATCACTCTTAAGGGACGCACAGTCATCGTGAAGGTCCCAGAGGACCCTGCGGAGGGACTTCATATCACATCAAATGTAGAACTTAGTCTCCCT